AATCGCTTGATCATTGTCTTCGGTCCACCCTCTCTGGGGCACCTGGTGCTGGCCACTGTCGGTAGACAGGATACTGGGCTAGATGGACCTTTGGTCTGACCCAGTACAGCTGTTCTTATGACAGCCTGTTCTTATTAGCCCAGGGATATTGGGTGGGCTCAGAGCTGGTTTGGCTTGGAGTTGTTAGCCCCTTACACACTGGGGATTTGTCTACACTACACATTTTTGTGGCAGAAAATATGCTAATGAGGGACTCATCATAAGTTGCAACATCATTAGCATATTTTCTGCCATTTCTTTTTGCGCAGAAACCTCATTTTGCGCAAGATCCTTATGCCTGTCCCGGGGGCTGCGCAAAATGGAAGTGGCTGCTCTGCTGCTTTTTGTGCCAAAACCCCTTGCGCAAAAAGAAACGGCAGAAAATCTGCTAATGATGTTGCAAGTTATGCTAATGAGTCCCTCATTAGCATATTTTTCTGCCACACAAACGTGTCATGTAGACAGAGCCAGGGACTGGTCCAAGCCAGGTGGTGCCCTGGGCCAAGGGGAGATCTGGTGCTGGAGGAAGCCTGTGGCTCCCTGCCCCCAGCAGCAGGCTTTCAGCGCTCTGTCTAGGAGGCCCAGGTCTACCACTCCTGGTGGCCCTTGCCACCTCCTCACCTCCAGTTAAAAAAGACGCCAGAGCCCAGGAGTGAGGGCCAAGGACGTTTATTCTGGTCACGGCTCGGGGCCGGCCCGGGAAAGACACAGTCGAAAGTGGCGCCAGCCCTGCAGCTGCAGGGCCTGATGGGAGGAAGCAGCCAGTGATGCTGCCAGGTGGGCGGGGCCGCAGGGCCAACCTCAGGCTCCACCATCTGCTCCTTGCAGAGGGACCCTAGTGCCTGCTGGCCCCACCAGTGGGCCCAGAGAGCATTCACGCCCCCTCCGGGCAGACCTGTGCTCCGGTGGGTGCTGGGCGCCCAGGCAGTCCATGGTGTCACCCAGCCTCCTGCAGGCAGGGAGCGGGTAGGTGTGGCTCCCAGAGAGGGCAGCACGTGTGAAGACTTCCAGAGCAGCCAGAAGGAAGCTGCCCGCTCAGGGAGGGGTGGGAGACGGGTCAGACTCCTGCCCCTGGCTGGCGGCCCCAGGCCTGCGCTTGCAAGACAAAGCCCAGACCACGGTCAGGGTGTGGCCTGGCTCTGCAGGCCAGACGCAGCCGGAGTGACGCCGGTGCCTGAGCAGCTGGTGGGAGGCTCACTCTGTGGTGCTGCCACTCGGGCCAGAGCTCCGCACTCATGGGCAATGGCCTGGCCACCAGGGCCACGCAGGATCCTGTGGCACCATAGAGACAAACATCTGTTTGGGCATCGGCTTTAGCAGGCTGGAGCCGCCTGGGCAAACGCAGGAAAATGGCCCCCCAGCCATGTTGCTG